AAGAAGAAGTGACAGTACCCATCTCTTCACTCCAATCTTGTCCTGTTGACTGTTGTTTCTGTTGCAAGTTCATGCATGATCATTGTAAAACATGAATTAATATTATTGTTTGTATTTTTAAATACAATTTATTGAACACACATAATAAAACAATAATATCCAAGACTAACTACCTTCTCTTAGCTGAAACTGGAAGCCTGGAACCTCCACTAAGTATTGCAGTTGATCGAAGCAGAGCTAGATAAAAAAATTGCTCCCTTTTCCCAGTTCTGAGATCTGAGCATGCGCAACCACACCCATATTTTGGAGCACATGTTAAGTCATGTTTCTTTAATTAACAAAATGGCGGAATGAGGTGAGCTGGGCTGGGGTGATAGAGAGAGGGCAACTGTATCTTATTGTCAGAGTTTTTTGAAAAGTTGTGGACCTGCGCATGGATAGTTGGAGTAGAATGGTGTAAAAATTAGCCTTGTAGAGCATTGACCAAAGACCATGATACCCTCCATTAACTGGATTGACAGAAGATGATGATGAAGACGAAAAAAGTGGACTGAACAAAACGGCCGATTTGCCGATTTTTTACTTTCCTCTTAGACAAGGTTTAGAGCCACGCTAGTAGTACCAATGGAGTCCTCTGGTCAAGATAAGGTCCTCTAAGAAGTCTGGTAAGCACAGGAGCTCGTTTTCCCGGTATAGCAAGGCTGCAAAAGTCGTGGCAGACATTTTGTTTTGGGGTGAATCCTACTTAGTAACGCTACCGCGTTACTAATAGTACTTCACATCTCCCTTTTGTATAATAGTGAGTGGGCGTATCAAAGGCACCGCCTGTGGTTACAAATGTGATGTAACACAGCTTTCATTTGTAACACTCCCTGTGGTTTTATTTGTATCCCTGTGGGTTGACAGCAAAAATCTCTTAAAATAAAATATAAGAAACAACATTATTGTACAGGTATTATAAGCTGAAACTCAACTGTCAATAAAGCTTGCAATAAAGTCTGGCCTAGGTCCAGTGGCCTGTGGGAATGGACAGCGGGTACAAAATCGGAACAATTGTGAGTCTCCGGAGTGCAGAAAACTTTAGATCGATTCACAGACCAATAATCCATGCAGGCAGAGTTTCACTGCTTTCCTTCCGCGTTGAAATCAATGGTTGACTAAGCCTCAATAATAAATATAGATAGCCGGGGAAGGTAAGATCGATACATGGCCGATCAGCAAGCGCAGGATCTCTAGTGTTCTGGACCTCTTCCAGACATTATAGCCTGGATTATGTCAAGCTAAAGCCTGAATCAGTTGGTAAAAGTACCTTTTTGTGAGCCTCCTGTCCTCCATTGCTACCATTTTACCACGAAGTGTGGTGCTACTGAGCATAGATATTAGAGTATATCTGCAGGGATAGGAAACTTCCGATTGCGGTTTTATTATTCCCATTGAGTTTATATTGTAGCCTAGCAACGGGATAATTCTGATGCTCCCTTCCCTTTTTACGCAGCCCAAAAATTAGGCAATTAGCTGTCTGGGCTCATATTTTCTACTGTATCTGCCTGATAAAAGCCTTTTTCGAAGATTTTATGTTGCGTTATTATTGCTCTAGAATAGTGCTTCAATATAAACTGTGATAGACTAGTGTGTCTACTTTATAAAACATCACATCTTCATGAAATGACGGCGAAATTTTTGTTTTGCACTTCGACATCTGTATCTCAAACACATTTCTAAATACTTCATTATTAGCAAGGTAGACCGATTCTACAAGCAGTCCTCCAGGTCTTCCGACTCAAAGCAGTCCTGTGCGTCACTTTGGTGGTGTTTTACACACAAATAAAGCAAATTTGCTGTGTTTTGCTTCTAAACACCTATCTCAAGAACTGGACGTTCTAGTGCCTAAAGGGCCCCATCTACAGAAAGTCTATAACCTATCCCGGGTCTTCCACCAATTAGCAGTTGCTTTAAAATACTCTAAGTACCTCAAAAAAAATTTTGTTTGAGACACATGAAATAAAGTGATGCATTACCAACATTCTAATTTTGAGGAGCCAAATAATAAAATAAACATCAGATAGCTAATATAAAGGAAGAATATAGACATGGCTCCATTGCAAGTTCATTTTCAAGTTGATACAGTGGGCCTGAACAGGCTAAAAGACAATGAGAAAGACACAGACTAGCCACCATTGCTCAGTGTAAAAATGAAATTTACTGACATTATTAGAAAGAATTAATACGGTATGGGGAAGGTAGCTTGATTTCCCGCGAACAGAAGTTTCCTATCCCTGTAACTCTAATATCTATGTACTGAGCATGCGCATTGGCACGCGCCTTTGATACGCGCACTCACTACTACACAAATATGTTGATAACACCCCCACTGCGGGATACATTGCATTTGTATCCCTAGCGGGGGTGTTATAACGTTTACATGTGTGCACTGTTAATAACCATCCCATTACTAGCAGGCCATGAGTTGGTACAGGTACACAATTGTCACTACTTTGTATGAGTAAGCCTGCATAATTCATTCAATTGGACTAAAATTAAAGATAATTAAATGCATGAATAAAGGTATAAAATATACATTGATCCTACTGTTTGTAGTCAAATTTTAATATCATTGGAGTCAAAAGTATATTTCATGGCATCTTTGGATATCTTTTCAATTTCTTCCTTAGCTAATCCAAATGTCTTTGCAGCAATAAAGTTACTAAGAGTTGTATTAAAGACACCTTTATCATCAGTCTAAAAGGAAAAAAGAGATGATTATAATAAAGAGTAATTAAAAAGAATATAATCATTAATGGTCATAGTTACTGCTACTCATGACTCAATAGATAATAGTAGGGGGTATGAGCACTGAAGTCTCCTGTCTATAATGTGTTGATTACAAGCATGCTGCACTTGACAGCTAGTATAAATCACTAAGTGTCAATTTATCAGTCTATTACTTGATTCCGCTAAACTATCTCCATATATTATTATGACTCAATAAAACAGGTTAGTTACTAGTTCCAGCAGTATCTGGTAATTTCAAGCTTTGTTGCTATGCACATGTATGCAACTGTGCTACAAATGCGATGTCATACAACTCTATTTTAGTGAAACTGAGGTGACAGTGACACGACATAGTTGTTTGCTGAAGCTAGAAACTGATGTTTTAAAATTGAAATCTAGTGTTGCAGAATTGAGATCTGATGTTTCTAAATTAAAGGATTTAATGAAGATCACGAAGAGACTTAAAATTAATTAAAGCTTTTTCAGTCGCATAATTTAAATTTAAACTGTTTCTATTAACAATGCAATGTGTCTTACATCTTAAAAGTTTTAGTTATCATCTCTGCGGTCATAAAAACCAAGACGCCTTAAAAGGAAAAACTATGGCAAGCTGAATGGTTCAAAATAATAATTTCGTATCATTGTGTTGTAGACAATAATAAAAGTATGACACAAAGTATATAATAGCTATAAAAGTGAAAGTCAGCATATGTTTCTGGATATGGTTTGCCGCACATAATGCATCCCTCATTCTAACTGTAGATGAAGTAGCCTAGTCTAGTGTTAATGAGTACTCAAAAGCCATTGAAGCATGAGGATCACTCCATCAAATAAAGTCTTTCTCTTGGCTAATATCACTGATCACATTTAACAGAATCCAACAGCTACAAAACAGCTTTTTGATAATGTATAGAGCAGAGCTATTGATCTATCTCGTGCTACAGAGCTTGTACAAGCTACTATAAGTCTTTTAACTGCCTATCATACTGATTCACATTGGGACAAAGTTTATGATCCTTGTTAGTCTCACTCAGTTGCTTAGTATCTACCACCACACTTGAATGATAGTGTTGTCTATGAAACAAAGAGTATCAAATTAATTTATACTATCCAGTTCTTGACAATTTCTCAAGGAGTTAAATACAAGGTTTGAAAACAATGTGTTAAAGGGAATATCTGCTTGCAGTACTCCAAATTCATCTAAATTTCTCTCAATTGACAATCATTCTACAAGATGTATGGAGTAAGAATAGAAGAGAGTGATCTGAAGGTAGAGGTTGAGCAACTCCCTGATTTGAGTTCCATGGTTGCTTCTGGAGACATATTAATTCATTGAGGCTAGCTTATAAAACTCTTTGTTATTTAACACAGATTGCTATGACAGTAGCAGTTACAAGTGCTGAAAATAAAAGATCCTTTTTAACACTGAAGCGTATAAAGACTCGTCTTAGAAGCACAATGGGGCAGGAACGTCTTTCAGCACTAGCCATATTATCAATTGAGGGAGAAATAGCAAAAGAGCTTGATTATGGCACTATCCTTGATACATTAGCTTCACCTGACAAGAACAGGCAAACCGTTATCGGCGTCTTGTTTAACTTTTTCTCTTTTTAGAGGAGGTTCATTGTCATCAGTAGCTATATTTCAATCCCAGCTCCTTCGTATCCCACATGGTAAGTAGCATGTGACGCACAGTATGTGAAATTTGGCTTAGGTATAAGAACATATATTCGTACACACCCACTCTGGATGTATCATATTTATTAAGACCTTGCCCTAGGACTTGCTGCACCCTCACTGGGGTGTTGTAAGATACACATAGATCTCAAGGGTATGGTACACACTTATGTATTCTTATCAGTAATAAACTGTACATGTAAATCCATTGAAGCATTGTTAATGTGAATAAAGCATATCAATTTCATTACACTCAATAACCATGACTCACACATATAATAAAAGGATGCTTGTGATCCAGCCAAAATTTCAACTGGTGTTCACTATAGCTAGGAACTGTACGGCCTTGTCATTAGATGTCTGACACAATTCTATTCAAAAAATAACACAAATATATACATACACATGACAACACAATAACAATTGCTGGACCTACCAATTGGTATTTTTTTTAGCTAGTACTGTCTGTACAGCTTGACTGCTATGACCCTCAGGACCACAATGAATATATGTAGCATGACCAAGACAATCAGGTACTCAGTAATATATCAGTGTCACTCTCTCTGTTGGGTTTCTAATGGTAATATCAGTTGATGAAAAAGAATTGTTATACTTACTTCTGCAATATGTACAGCTAATTTAAAACTTCTTCTCTTTCCTTCTTCGAACACTTGTAAAAGGTCTCTGCCATTACCAGCCTGTAAAGAAATAAAAATTACAGTAAGCTCTGGGGTCAATTACAATTGTAATTAGAGGCTCAATTACAAATACATAATTTCTATTGTAGTTGAGACTTAGCCTGAACAGACGGCAATTCAATTTTTATCAAAATTGAGTTGCCATAGTGTACTAAATACCAATTTAATACAGACACAGGGAAATGCTCTCTATTTAGTAACATTGCACAATTATATGTAAAAAAAAACAAAAAATCAAAACTGTATGCATAACCCAAATTACTGTAACATGGCATAGGTGTATTCTAATTGACTTATTCAAACATGTACATGTATGTCACTGTAATTCAGGTTTTGTAATTGACCCCAGATTTGTAAAGCGTGGTTTGCACTCGCCACAAAACACAATGCAAATGAACGAAAAATTGAAATTTGACCAATTTTGCATCAACTTCAAAGCGTTTTTGTGTCACAAGGTCAAATTGCACACGCACTTTTTGGCCTTTTTGTCAAATGTAAACTTAGCTTAAGCTAAATATCTGTAATTACCAGAGATTAGATAATAAATTTCTAAGTAACAACACATAAACAAAATTGTACAAAATCAATCTATACAAAGTAAGCTTCATTATATTGTCATACCATTGGGTCTCCACTTAAATCGATTCCAACAACACTAGCTTGACCAGCACCACCAGTATTACGATGCTCCATTGCTAATTCAATGGTATCGTATGCTTCAGTAATATTCTGATGATGATCAATAGACAATAATAATCTATATGGGAAAAGTTACAAGTCATCGATAACAATTTTTATACCACTAAACTGACCTTACTTGAATGTCATTTGCACAACTTGGAAGGGTCAACTGTATACCTTTTACAACAGCAACAACATAAGACCTTTTTGTCATTCCTAACAATAAATACAAATTACTATTTCAATCACCTCTAAAATTTTAATTATAATGCTTTAATAATTTATATTTTTACTTTGGATTTTATATTCTCTTTCTACAAAGTACATTATCTTAGTTTGCTGCACAAAAAATTTTGCACTAATTGTAATAATCTTGTAAAATTGAAATAGCAAAATTCATTTCAATTAGTATCAGAATACAAAATGATCAATACATATTACATACCTGAATTGGTATTAGCCCGAGGAGTTGTTCTTAATTCTAAGTATTGAACATTATCAGCTGAGAACTCCTAACTACATCACAGGCAGCCTAATTAAAGAAAATTAAATAAACACGAAATGATTAGAGTATTCTTACCATAACAATGGCTTCTTCACAATCCATAACTGAATGAATAACTTTGAATATTTCAAAGCACTAAAAAAGAGCCAAAATAAAAGATAAAATTTGAACTTGGCTGTGGTACATACAAGTACAAAGACATTGTTGCAAAAGTTAATACTATTATAGAATATAACACGTAAAATAGGCCTCATTTATCAACACACCCTAAAGTATGTGTACAAACAACAGAACTAATTCACTAGTTGAGGCAACATAAAGAGAAATTGGTGAATGGTGAGACTTAAATGGTCACAAAATATCAGAGATGGCCAACGTGGCCATTTGGCATACACCAAACTGACAAAAGTTAATGAATGACATAAAGACTGAGGTATAAAACCAACTTCTACCATGCCAATCCAAAAAAGATCAAATAAATTTTTGCAACTAAGATACCAGAGCTTAATAGTCATCCAGTTATACTATAAGATGATCATGATATTCAGGAACAAAAAGGCATGTGTCCTGATCTTGGGTTAGGTCTACCTTCATTTTCAATGCTTTGTTACCATATTACCAATGTAGGTTATTTTCCTTAGCATAATCTTTCATAATTATAATTGTAGGTTGCCTAATGGTATAGATATTACCTTTGGTTTGCTACTTTCAATGAAAGCATCGTTACAATAAGTCAAACAAAATTGTAAAAGATGAGTTGCAATCATTCTCTCAACTTAGTAAGTACATTCATATCACAAAAATACTATTGAACACATTAATTTGAAGGGATTACAGCTGAAGGAATTATCCAGCCATCTTTTACTATCAATGGAGACTATAGAGACTTTTATAGTCTCCATAGTCTCCATCTTTTACTACTCAATCCAGGCCTGTCTACTTAAGGTTGATCCCATCCATCAAAGCACGATACTGAAAAATTCTGACAAATGTAATTAAATTGAAAATTAAATTGGTCAAAGAGTAGCCTTCTCCCCATTATGCAAATCACAATCTTCTTTTGTGGTATACTACCAACCTGAACAGTCTACATGACACAAGTATCTACCCTTCTTCCAAGTTCAAAGGATACTCCTTGTATTGGTTAGCGTCCTTACGTCCAGGCTCTGGAAAGGAGGGTTTGAGTCTCTCCTAGGGCGCCTTTTGCTGTAGATGAACTATTATTTCACAGATTATACCACAGAGTTGTGTTCTTTTGGTCTTCATAAAATGTTTAACTCAAAAACATCACACATGATGATAGTATCAGTAACTAGATGCTATTGCATGCCCACCATGCCCACATCTTGCAAAGTATTGGATTATTGGTAGCCTAATTTCATTTTTAGTTCAACTGCTTACAAGCCGTAAGCTTCCAAATCTCATTTATTAATGTACAATCTTTAGCCAAAGAATTAATAGATTGAAGCCACTCCTCTCATACATGCAGCTTTTAATGGATATACACAGGTAGTGACAGTGCTCCTTAATAAAAGGGACAATTTTGGGTGCATCGATCTAGTATTGCAAATATAGTCATGAACCACCACGATTACCGTTGCCATGTAAACAAATAATTGGGGCAAGCCTGAGTGAGCCCCACATAAACGATACAAGTATGTTTGTCTGTCTGTCTGTCTGTCTGTACACGTATGTCACCCCTATTTATACGCATCTATAATTCTAAAATAATTACACGTTTTAAAAATGATAATTTGGTAAATTACGGCACCACGTAAAAGTAACTGAGTTTAGAGAAGCAAAGTTAGTGTTCTTAGAGTACACAATTATGAGTAGTTCACAAGAAGATGTTCATGAAGCTCGTCGTCTTCTTCGTAATGAGCGTGATAGGGAAAGGAGAAGGAGAAAAGAGCGAAGAGGTCCAAAAGAAATGGCAGAGATAGGTCCCGCCACGCCCAAACGCAACAAATGGAGTCTCCTTCTGACAGAGAAGATCGCCTGTCTAAAAAAAGAGCCAGGATACTAGGGATGCTGTTGTTGCAGACCACTCTCAAGCATGCAGACTTGTATTGTGGGAGGACTTACCAAATTCAGTTCAAATGAGTAAAAGCTACCGAGTAACTAGTGCTACTGTCAAGTTTTACAATGGTGAAAAGCAACTGAAAATTCAGAAATAACGGAGATTGATGATTTGAAAGAAGTTAATGAAAACACCATTGATGGCAGGAAGAATGAACACTTCACTGGTGAAATTGTGGGTGTAATTTCATA